AGCATCAGTGATCTCTGAGTGACCAGTGTTAAATAGTCTAACATCCATGAGACTGAGCTTCCATTAGAGGAGGATGTGGGGACAAAGGGGAGAAAAAAAATATTTCTAGAAATAATGCTAGGATACAAAAATAATAACAATGTATTGTGAGTTCTTTAACGTATGAAGATGTAAAATGAATGACAACAATAATACAAAGGAGTGGGAAGGGGAAAATGGAAGTACATTGTTGCAAGGTTCTTATCATACTTGACATGCTGTAACATTATTTGAAAGTAGAGCAATGACTTAAAAGAAACTAAACAAAAAGTTATAGTTCAAAAAAATTAGTAAGTAAAATACCAACAATCTAATAGAAAAAAAAAAAGAAATGCTTTGAATAGGCAGTACTGGCAGAGTCAATTTATTAGGTAAATTATGCTATGTCAACACACTGGAACACCATGTAAATGTGAAAAAACTAGATATCTTTATATATAATAAGGAAAGTGCTAATACAAAGAGAGGCAGTATAATACAGCAGGACAGTATTATTTTGCAGCCAAACTCCCTGGGTTTCAATTCAGGCTCTGTTATGTACTTGCAGAGTCCCCTTGAGCAAATTGCTTAACTTCCCTCTGCTTCAATTTCTTCTGTAAACCAGTGATATTACTCATAGGATTTTATGGGGACTGAAAGAGTTAAGTCATGTAAGGCATTTAAAACAATCTCAAGTACAAAATTAGTATTGATTATATGTTTGGTAAAAGAAAAAGAAAGTCTTCACAATATATTCCCAAGTAAAAACAGCAAGGTCCAGAATAGTATGTTATTTATATGAAAAATAAACAATGTATGTCCACAAAAGTAGAGACTATCTCTAGAAGGCTAAACAAGAAATCCTTCTGGAAGAGATCCTAGTTCCTGTAGAACAGAAAGAGAAATGTACTCTCCTCTTCAGATTTTTAAGTAAATATTGAATTTTCTACAATGGATTGCCTATTCAAATAAGTAAATATAATTTTAAATCAAGAATTCATAAACACTTTAAGATCACGAAAACGTGCACTTTGAACACAAGTATCATGCTAGGTAAAAAGAAATCAAGAAGCAAACCAATGTGATTTTTTAATAACCTGTGTTTCTTCCCAGAATTATGACAATGATCAGTTTCCCTGGGCTCTTGAAGACTTTTCTGGCCTTTGTCGTTAGTGACCTACTTCTGTAACTCTTACTTCTTGCCTTTCTTCCTTTTATCTTTTCATGATCTCACACATATCTTCCTTTATTATTTCAATAAACTATATCTTAGATGCTTTTCTTTTCCAAAGCTCTAATTCCGTTCACTGAATTTTTTATTTATGGTAGGAAGACAGAGAAAAAGGAAGGGTGATCAAATCAGTATTTGATTTCAGTCAAAAACTTTGTTCAAAATACAAACTTTGTGGGTACTGCATATGTATACACATACACATTAGCCTTTCAAGACAAAAAGTTGTTTTTGTATTTTAAGAACACAATCATATCTATCTAAAAAAATATTATGGCAAAGATTCTTTTAAAATCATTAAGTGATTTGAAAAGTTTTCTGTGTAATCACTGGAGTCTGACTGTAAGTTTTAAATTTGGCCTCTGACTTACTAGCTGGGTTATATTGAGTAAATTACTTCACTCCACCTCAGTTTCCTAATCTGTAAAACTGTATTAATAATAGGGCCAAACACTGGGATGCTGAAAGACAAAACTAAATGAGGTAATAGACACTTGGATGTCTGACCCATAGTCTAACCTTAATAAATGTTAATGTTAGTAATAATAAAACTATTATTATTATTAAAAGTCATAAAGGCATATGGATTAGGAGGGAGTGGGTTTGGCTATAAAGTGTGTGATGACAGTAATTTTTAAAAAATGAAATTCATCTAAAACTTTGATGTTACTAAATCAAATATAGAATTAGAACTCACATACCATATTATTTAACAATTAAGAATTTTTATTTCTGGAAAGAACATAAATACAAAAAGGAAACTTTATTTTTTATTTTAGATTATTCTTCAAGGGACTATGTTCTTAAAATCTGATGCTCCTTATTTCTTATTTTTTCCCAATTTGGGCTATAAAAATGCCAATGAAGAATATGAGAGCAATAATTATTATCCTGGCCAATGGATCTCAAGTTATTTAATACCTGGAGAAATGCCAAAACACTTTCCATTTTGCATCACCATAAAATTAAAAAAAAAATTCTTCCAATATCAAGTAACTGCTCAGCACCATAATGTTCCAATTACTCTTTTTTTATTATAACATACCTGAAAAAGATCCAAAGACTGGATTGCAAAAGAGCTTAGACAGCAATGTTGGAGAAACATAAAATACATTATAAGGATCAAGAGTTAATTTTACCTAAACTTCCATAAAATGGGGAATTTCCATAAAATGCAATCCCCTCACTTATCTAATGGATCAGAATGGAGGAAAGTGGAAGTAAAATGCAGAAATCTGCACTTTATATAAGCCTCCAGGTAATTTTTTGTCTACTGTCATTTTAAGAACAAATGAGAAAAAAATGAAACAGAAAGGGTTAATTAAAAAGGCTCTGTGTCAGAGGTGAAACTCAAGCAGATTTCAAGTAGGAACATTATGTGGCAGGGAGGAATGGAGTAGCTCTTCCAAACCAAAGGGATGGTATGTGAGATAACTCAGTTTCCAGATATGTTTCAACATCCGAAGCATAGAGAAGTAACCACACCTGCTCTGAATAAGCAGTAGGGGCAGAGAAGTAAAGGGCTGTCAACCAAAACAGCTATTAATTAGAAAAACATCAGGCTTTCATTGTTTAATTCTTATCCTAGTTTCCAGTATTTTTTTTCCCATTACATACTCTAGAAATATAAGCCTCCAAAGTACTGCAATACTGATAGAGAAGTGGACCAAAACAACTTCAGCAAAGGAAGGTACTTTTGTTTTCAATTCAACATAAGGATTAAAAGAAAAGCAAAAAGGTAAAAAAGTCTTTTTTTAACTGACTACAGTCAAACATTTACAAAGAACTCTTAGGTAACTTTCAAAATAGTTAACCAAAGGATAAATTTATTCAAGTTTAAAAGTTTATTCAAATTTAGCATGAAAATATGTAAAATAAGACATTTAAATTAATTTACAAGATTAATTCTAATGTAACTGGTCAGTTTCCACATCTGTAAAATGACAGTTTGAGACTAGGTGATTTCTAAAGTCCTATTTAGCTCAAATTCTAAAACTGTACAACATACAAATTCACCAAACTTTGAATTAAATATACTAGGTTGTTTAAAAACTATAAATGTAAGCCTATTCTGGTAATTCAAATAACCCTGAAATGTTAGAATATTGATAGCTGCATCCCATAAACAACCCAGCAACACTATTTTCACATTTCCTGTTAGCATGTGCTCTGAATGAATGAGTGAAAACTATCTTCTGTTACTTGGACTGCTAATATTAATAGCACACGATACAGCTACTCATTTAGGAGGAGTTATAAAAGGCCCTTATAGTTACAGAATCCTAAAAGTCTCATGAAAATAAGAGAAACATCATTAGCTAAACAGTAAATACCATGCCAAACATAACTCAATGACAATCTTAAATTGCAAATTAATTAGATTAAATGAAATTTGAGATATTTATTCATCATGCAAAATAGGCAGCATTACATTACAACCTGAAAACCTCTATGTATCTCTTCTGGTTAAATGGGAAAAAACTGTCCATGGTACTTTTCATTGGTAATGCTGCCATTCTTACTATGCACATTACATATTTTCCTTGTTACTACTATAAGAGAGATACACTGCACAGAAGTGTCCATGGGGACAAGATTTTATCTATACTGAAATTAAATCTAGGATAAGTAAGCTTATCATAATGGAGTTTTACATGGATATGTATTTCTCAATGTAAGATGATTTCTTACTGTAATGGGGGAAAAATGAGGAAGTCTGATTCTTTAGAGTCTCCATAATTATAAACTTTATTCTTAAATTAAGGCACTGGTCTGCAGGACGAACAAATCTCCTTATAGTTTAAAGACAGATAAAACAAGACAGCAGTGTAAGAATAAATTTTGCTTCTATATCAAAGAGAATTAGATTTTAAACTAAGTAACATATAAAGACCATGAAAAATTGAAAAATGGGAAGCCAAAAAGTAGGCAAAATAAAAAACGTTTACCATTAAAAATTCATCTCTGATTGTCACACTGACCCTGCTGTCATATTTGCCATTTTACAAACCCACTAGTCTGACCAACGACCTCAATTTTAAGAATAACTTTAAAACCACGCATTTTTAAAGCTAATGCAACAATAAGACTGCAGTAGGTCAACAATTTATACCACAGATTAGTGATCCAGAAGATAATTAAACTCTGTGTCTATCAGCAATTAGCAACCAGACTTCTTAAAAAGAGAACTCACGCTGTGACCAGTTAAGTTCCATAAAGGATGGCTTTCGTTTAAGAGTCATTACTTCATTGCCCGGCACGACTGTGCTTGTTTTGGAATTATACTATGGTTTTAGAAACTTTGGCTCAGAGTAAAGCTAAGACTTCACCTGTGCCTGAAAAGAATCAATTTGGAGGAAGGTGCCGTTTATTACGGTGAAACTGGGTCTTAGTTACCTAACGATTATAAGGACACTGTAAATAGTCACAAATATATTGCGTGCATCTCAAGAATTAAAACCATTTAAAAACTCAACAGAAGCCCCAGGATAATACATTACTCCACGAACAGTGTTTCCTTTAAGTTGTAAGAAAAACATTACTATTTTAGAGTTTGTAGGCTAAGACTCCAGTTTTCTCCTGATCATTTAATATTTCTAAACCTAGAAAGAGCTTGTTTGCGGGTACTGCGAAACCTGTGCAACGAGGGTTTCGGGAGGGGAACCGCCCAATTAAAATAACTGTGAGAGCGAAGAGAACTCCGAGGTCTGGAACTCCCCCAGGCTGAGCTGGCAAGGAGAGGGAACCTTACCTGCCAGCGGCCATAGGTGAGGAGGATCATGGAAATGGGGATGGCGGTGCCGGACATGGCATGCGTGGAGGGCATGCTGTACTCGGAGTTGTAGAAGACCTCCAACTTGACCACGGGCGGCGAGGCGGGCCGCGGCCAGCGGAAGATGTCTTTGGTGCACTGGCCCAGGTACATGACCAGAACCCAGATGGCCACGAGCCTCCGGCCCACCAGGGGGTCCAGGTTCCAGAACCAGAAAGGGAAGAACAGGATGTAAAAGAGTTCGTTGCCCAGCTCCGTACCGAAGCAGAACAGGTAATAGAGCGGCCAGTTGCTCACGTGGGCCGGCTGGCCCTCCTCGCCCGTCAGCGAGTTGCGGCGCAGGGCGCCCGCGCGCCGCGGCGAGGCCGGGCCCAGCTCGGTGGCCAGCCCGTTCCCCATGCCGTTGGGGGCTCCGCCGCCGCCGCCGCCGCCGCCTCCGCCTCCCCGCTTGGCGGGGCACTGATTGCGGTCGCTCCTGGGCGGCTGGGGGCCTCCGGACGTCCCTGGCTGCCGCTCTCGGCGTCGGGAGTCTCCGGCCAGGGGCGCCTCCGCCTTCTCCTCATCCTCCCTCGGGTCGACGGCTGCCGCGGCGGAGCGACTCTGGGTCGCTTCCACCCCGCACAGCCGCTGGAAACGGGCCACTTTCTGCGGCTCCTGCAGCCACCCAACAAGCTGGGCCAGGCGCTGCCTCAGCGACATGGTAACGGGACTTGCGCAGCCCGCGGACCGGGGCACGGCGGCGGGAGGACGGGCCGCCCCGGGCGCAGCCCCGAACGGTCCCCGCGCGCCTGGCCAGCGGCAGCGGCGCCTCGCTCCACCGGTTCGGTTCTGGCGTGTGACGGCGCCACAGGCCGGAGCGGCCGCCGCGCGCCTCCGCCCCGCGCGCCCCTCCCTCGCCGCGCGCGCTCCGCCACCGCGCGCGGCTTCCGCGCGCCGGCGCGCACCGCGCCCCACCCACGACTGTCCCTCTGGGAGGTGCCGGGCCCGGTGGGTCCGCCCCGAGCTCTCGGGCGGCGCCTGGGTGCTGAGGCTCGGCGGGTGGCTGCCCCGAGGCTCGCCTCCATACCCACCAGGCGTCGCGGCCCTCGGCAAGAGGGACGTTGCGCGGCCTCCTTCCCCAGCTCCAGCTCTGGTTCCCCGCTGGCTGTTGTAGCCGGCTTCCCTCTGAGGAGGGCCGACCCGCAGAGGCCACCATCCCGGTGCACGCTTCGGCGGTGCCGCGGGCCAACCACCGGGCAGTCTTGCTGGCACGGAATCAAACGGTGAATGGTGAACGGAGGCGAAATTAATCACCGTACGTCCGGAATCGCTGGACTCGAGTAATTACATGTGACTACAGAGCTGTCTGATATAGAGTTGGTGTCCTGAAAGCCGCGAGCCAATTGATCAGTGGTGGCAAGACTAGGTGTAGATGCCAGGACAACTTTGTGTCATAGATAAAATATTTTGGTACAAGTTAAGAGATGACAGTTATATTTGACTTACATGTAGAAATTTAATTAACTCTTACGGCTAGGGGGCTTGCACAGAAGAAATGTAATTGGTGCCTGAAAGCAGTGGGTAGATTTTTGAGTGGGGCTGATTTAGAGACTTAACTTCCGTGTCTCACAAGTTACAAACCCGAGTTCTAGAAAGAATTTTTATTAGAAGGTCTCTGAACTCTAATTCCAGGAAGTTATTTCAGGTAAGGTGCATGTCTGTAATTAAAGAATTTGAACTTCTTCCAAGAAGCAGGCTGGAAAATTCCCTTCTCTTACATCATTAGAAACATTTTCTTCATTTCCCAGGGACAGTTATTCTCCTCCTCCCACACACTTGCTAGGCTGTGGCCACAGAAAAATGAATAAAGCATCATCCCTGCCCCAAAGTTGCTCACAGTATGAATGGAAGACAGACAGGACCACCTCTTAAAGTACCGGCGGCAGACGTAGAGTACTAAAAGACATAACGTGCTCTGCAAAGGAGAAGAAACAAGTTGACTAGGAAAGGCAAGAAAGGTGTTAAGAGGTGACCCTGTTATGCTAGATCATAAAGAGCAAAATATGAACAGGTAGAGTAGCCCATCTTAGGAAAAGATAAAATGAATAAATACAGGGGATAGGAAGGTGCAAAGATGTATTTGGTAAACAATTAACAGCCGATAGGATACACAATAGGAAGGGTAAGTGATTGGAATGGGGTAAGAAAGAAAAGAAAGGACCAGATTGTTAAAGCCTTGAATCCCAAGCTAGGGATTTTATTCTTTAGGCAGTGGGGAGCCATGGAAGGTTTTTTCTTTAAATTGGTATATGATTGATATACAGTATTATAATGGTTTCAGATGTACAACATAGTTATTTGATAATTATATACATTAGTAAATATTCATCATGGTTAACTGTAATTTCCTACTGCTACCATACCAAGAAATTACAATATTATTGGTTATAGTCTCTATGCTGTACTTCCATTCCCATGACTGCTTTATAATTTGAAGTTTGTACCTCTTTATCCCCTTCACCTCTATGGACAGTTTTTAAGCAGACAGTGACATCATCAGAGCTGTGCTCAAGGGTAACTGAGAAGGAAATCAAAGATGAATTCCAAGAGGCCAGAGACCAAAGGCCAAATAAATAATCAGAAGATGACTGCAATAATCATGTGAGTGGGAATGAGAGCCTGAGCTAGGACCGTAGTTCTGGGAATTGAAAAGAGGGGGATAGATTTGAACAGGATTTTAGGAGTAGGAAATAATTAAAGCATTTCATTTGGATTCATAGGTCTGCAGGCAAATAATAATCCATCCCTGATTGAAACACATTTTCTCTGATACTGAGGAGACAAAATATGAGAAAATGTGCAAATATATTTAAAAAATTTAAAGCCAGACATACCAAACAGTTCTAGGAAGTGAAACAAAAGCAGTCACTATGTAGAGTAAGCAGAGAGGCAGCCTTGGGTTTCTGTATGAACAGTTTTGTGAAACATTTGAAAATAAGGAGCAACGTAGTTTGTAGAAAGGTGGGAACAACCTCAGTGAGGCAGTTTACACATGCTTTTCTGTCAAAATAATTTGTTTATAAGGGGATTATTCAGTTTCATCCAAAGAATTTCCAACTCTGGGGACTGAAGGGCCTAAAGATAGCAGAGAAAGAGGAAAATAAATAAAACAAAGTAGAAAAGTGATCTTTATACCCCACAGCTAAATTATGGCTCCTTCAGCACTGGTGTATTTTGTCAGAATGAAATGGGCTCTCTAAAGGTAATGGAAACAAAGATGATGGGGAAATGGGAATTTGGCCTATGACTGCACTAAAGAGGATAAATAATGCAAGTTAACAAGACTTGAAGGGACTGACGCTGTACTGCTGTTACAATAAATCTGTTAATGATCAGGACAAGGCCTCAGCTGTAAACCAAAGCATCACAATGGAAAGAACGGTAGTTCTGATAGGTTCTGTTTACATTTACTCTGAACTTTTCATAATAGAATATCTTAAAACTTAATAACTATTTCAAGGGCAGAAATAGGTGAAAAGGATTAAGAAGCACACATTTCCAGATATAAAATAAGTCATGGGGATGTAATTGCAGCCTAGGGAATAGAGTCAACAATATTGTAATAACATTGAGTGGTGACAGATGGTAATTAGACTTATTGTTGGATCATTCATTATGTATGGAAATATCAAATCACTGTGGTAGTCACATGAACTAATTGGAAAATAATTCAAAAAAAACATTCTGTGGCAAGCATTTTTATATCAAAGCATGAACATTTTTTAAAAAGAAAAAATAATAATTGACCTGATTGTTTATAGTTCATGATGCGTGATCAAAACCAAAAGTTTCTGTGATGACTGCCCTTGCACTGTTCACCGTGTAAGAACTTATTCACTATGTAAGAACTTGTTCACCATGTGAGAACTTGTTCATTATGCTTCAGAAGATTGGAGACTGTTGAGAATTAGGCTTGGGTTTGATTAATGATTGTGCATTGAGTCCCCTATACAGAATTTTATTGTTGTTAACAACCATATGATCAATAAATATGAGAGATGCCCTCTCAAAAAAAAGAAATAAATATTGCTGCCATATAACTATATGGATGTGATTCAGTGTCTTTTCTGCAAAGCCAAATATCTTAGTCCATATTCCATAATTAACATGTTAAGTAAATTTTTTCATATCCTCTGCACTTCAGTTTAACTTTTTATGTAATATTAAAATCTTTTTGAGAGTCATTACTGTAAAGGAAAAATATTGCCATCATTCATAATGGAACCTTCATAAAAGTAGGAAGGAAATATAATATACAATCCTAGCCTTAGACATTTTACCTTGGACAGTAATTTAATTTAAATTTGTATTTTGTTGTCATGCGGGGTTGAGGTAAATCACTGATTCAACTACTTTTACAATGAGGTCAAAGAACTTTATCTTTGGAAATATACCTTCTAAATAGTTTATGTTCAAAACTATGTTATACTGTATTGTATACTGTATTTGAAAGTTGCTAAGAAAGTAGATCATAAAAGTTCTCATCACAAGAAAAAAAACGATGTGAGGTGATGGATATTAACTAAAATTGTGGTAATCACTTTGCAATGTATACATGTATCAAATCAGTATGTTGTATACCCTAAACTAATACAATGTTCTATGTCAATCACATCTCAATAAAAGAGGGAATGGGAGAAAAAACTATGTTAATAAGAAAATGATAATACTCATTTTAAACTGTATTCATTATTATCAATTTATTTTATTTTGCCTACCTGAAACCCAACTTTATTTCTTGTTCAACTACAAAATGTATATTGCTACCTATTTACCATAAATTATTACTATTACTAGAATATTTTGACATGTGGATACATAGCATATTATGGGCATCAATAAATGGTGATTATGAATTTGTTATATTTAAAAGATTAAGCCTATATTTATTAAATTATTTACATATACACATAATGATTTTATACTGAATCTTTGCTTATTGATTTATAGTTCTAGATGCCTGTCATAGCACAAATGTAAAGAAAACGTGATAAATACAGTATACATGAAATTTCAATATTACTAAGTTTTCAAAGCTTGATGTTTTCTATGCCGCAACCTTTTAATCACGTTCTTCTAAAGTAAGATTCTAAGAAAAAAACTTTAGAGAAAAAATAGATTAAGAGTATTCCAGACAGCAAAATAAATGGCCTCTCACCCACTAATGACCATGGAATTCTGTCCTTACCAGACAGACCATTTACACTTTTATTTTACCCCAACTCTAGTACTTTCTTTTGCCATTTTTTCTTCCTAAGATTTTTCCCCTATATTTGTTAATGTCACTTTTGAGCTCTACTTTTCTTATTCTTAAAACCTTATTCGTGGCTTTCTTTTTTTTCAGAAATAATTGGTAAATGGGTGTACATACAACTCAGAAGATTTTTTTTCTTAATTCAGGACTTGAAATCTCCAACCATATCTGCCTATTCACTATTCCAGCATCATCTTGGTAGGTGTTGATTTGTCTCCAATACATTTATGTTTGTAATATTCTAAATCATCCATTAACCAGAATGGTTAATTTAATTTCCTAAATAATGTAAACTTTCTATAAACTTTAGCACTTAGTGAAAATATTTACAAAATGTGTTTGGTGCATTTTCAAATTGTATTTTTAAAAGTATAGTAGAATGAACAACCTATCTTTTTTTGCATTTTTTATTATGGTCAAAAATATATAACATACAACATTCAAAAATCCATCAGCACCATCCACCACATCAACAAAAAGAAAGACAAAAACTACATGATCATCTCCATAGATGCTGAAAAAGCATTTGACAAAATTCAACATCCATTCATGATAAACTCTCTCAGCGAAATGGGTATAG